GACGTTTTCGTATGACTCAGTTTCCCTTTCTTTGGGGGTATAAGATCTTTTCATTCCTCTTCCTGCTTCTCCACAGTTCATCACCTCTTTCGGTCCCATTGTGTGATGTGGAGGCCCCTCTGCAGCACTGTAAATCCTCGGGCACGGTAATCTCAAGTTTTTCTTCAACAGATCTGCAGGCACCGGTGAAATGCGCCCGTCGAAACCCCCAAACGGGCGTGAGCGGGCCTGACTCCTAAAGAGAGCAGGGCCGCAGACCTGGCTTCCCCCCGACGCCCCGCGGGCCCGTAAAAGGCTTTCAGGGCGTGGTCTCCTGTCTCTCTCTCCCAGCTCCAGCAGCCGACCACAGCCTTCCCGCGCGGCCTCCCTTCCCTGCTCAGGGTCCTCAGGGCCTTGGCCTCTACTGCCCGCTGCCAGGCCACGGAAGCCTGCGACCCGGCGTCCGCCCTCAGGCTAGCTCTCCTCCCGCAGAGGGCCGCGCCTCGCCTCGACCGGCGCCCCCCGCGCCCCCAGGGAGCCCGGCCGCGCGCCCGACGCCCCCGCGCCGCCCGGCTCACAGGCCCGCGTCCAGCAGCCCCTCTCTCGGGGGCCGGGCGGCGGACGGGCGTGGTCGGCGCGGCGCCGCGACGAGCCCTCCCCGCCCCGTTCCCCTTCCATCCGCTCGCTGCCATTTGAATTCCCCGTCGACTCCTGGGTGGGGGCCGAGCGAGCCTTCGCGAAGGGCGAGGGCGGCGGGAGGAGGGCTCGGGAGCCCCTCCCGGGCGGCGCGGCGCCGGCCGGCGGTGCAGTCGCGCGCTCGCCGCCAGCAAAGCCATTGGCTCGGCGCAGTCACCCCACGCGGGGCTGCAGCGGCGGCCTCCGCGGATTGGCGCGCGGGCGGGCATCCAGCGGGGCGCGCGCGAGCGGGTGCGTGCCGCCCGGGCTGCAGCGAAGCCCACCGTCTCGGGGCCGGGCTCCCCCGGCCCGTAAAGACCACCCCTCCATTGTCCTTGAGTTGCTGATGCTGCATTCGGGGCGGCAGCCAGCTACAGTCCCCGACGCCCTGGCCCAAAGAAAGGGCGCGAAAGGCGCGCTCCCCGCTCGGGCGCACGCACCGACCGCCGCCCTCGGCGGCACACTGCAGCATTTCGCGCTCTCGCGCCGCTCCCCTCCCCGCCCGCGCTCATTTGCATATCCCACGATTGTGGCCAATCAGGGCTCGTCTCTCTCGAAGCGGATGGCTTTTGCCTGAGAGGAAAGGGAGTGGCTGGCGGCGCATGCGCCGCGGTGGCCGACTTGAACCGAGGCTTTTATTGCTGTAGTTTATTTCCACCCCTTCCCTCCTGTTCTCTCTCTCTCTTTCTTTTTTTTCCGCCCTGGCTGGGGCTGTGTTGGAGCAGAGGAAGAAAGAGACAGGATTGCATTTATCCCTTACGTTCTTGAAATCTGCTATCAGCAAGACCAGCTAAGCGGTTGCATCTTTTTCAATCCTGCAAAAAATACCATCTCTTTCCTGGCAATTTTTGCTCTAAAGGTGTCCTCTTGAAATTATTTTTTTCCCAGGAGAGAGATGTCTTATCAGGGGAAGAAAAATATTCCACGCATCACGGTGAGTTTGGTACTTGGGCAATCTGCGGTCGGCCAGCAACCTTTTGTGGCAAGGAACATCCAAGGAATTTTTTTTTTTTTAAAGGAGCGGGAGAAAGAGGGACCCAACTTTTCTTTTTTCCTTTTTTTTTTTTTTTCCTGTTGCTGAAGAAGGCGATTGTAGTGGGAGACGCAGCCGTCTAGAATTGTAAGCTACATAATTTGTAAGGCATAAAAATAGGAGCGTAAGTGCATTAAGGACGTCTTAGGTAGCGCGCCAGATCCGCTGTATCCTTTTATTGTCAGTTCGAGATGCTGCAGTGCTGGCCTGCGGGGTGTAAGCAAATGGATGCCAGATTGAATATGCATGGTTGAAGCTCGGATATTGTTCTCCGGGCTGCGTGCTGCGAGGCTGGACTCCAGGAGCTGGCTGGGGGAGATGGAGAAATGGATTCTCCCTGTGTCTCCCGCCCCCACCATAAAGGCTTTCTGGAGCCTTCCTCCGGCTCCTTAGAAAAAGGAGCGGGTTTCAGCCCGGAGGCGTAATGACAGCAGAGGGATGCTGGAAAGGGCCGGGAGTGCCGGGATGATGTGGAAACTGGAAGGAAAAATAGGGACGCGGTGATGAACAGAAGAGGGTGGGGGGCCAGGCGTGGGCTTTTTGTCGATCACGGACTGGTTTTGGGTGGCCCTCTCGGCTTCCTCGCCCTCCGGTGTGGGGCTGGAACCCTGGCAGGGCTCAGGGTTCGCTTTCTTGTGACTTTCTGTCCCTCCTGCAGCCAAGGAGGCGCCTGTGTTGGCGCATACAAAGCGGGCTGGGAGGGTGGGCGTTTTGGGGACAGCGCGGAGCGGGGCTCGCGGAGGTAATGGCGCTGCGCGACGCGCGGAGCAGATGGCCCGGCCTGGCCTCGGCCAGACAATGATCGCTGCGGCCGGAGGTGTTGGCGCAGTTTGGGGCCTGGAGTTGTTAGTTTGTAAATCCCGAGAAAAAACATCTAAGCGATGAATTTGCGATGCTTCGGCAATGAACACAGGTTCTTGCTTTCACCGCTCTCCTGCCCTCCCCACCCTCTCCCCATCTTTTCCTGGAAAAATCTCACCAGTCCTAGTTCTCTACATCCCCGAATGAAATCCCGGGGAGAGAGGGAAGGCGAGGGAAATTCATTGTTACATAATGATGTGCAATTGCAATTGGCCAGCTGATTGCTGGGTAGAACCCAGGGCTGAGGCAGAGACCGAAAGAATCGTTGTAAACTCAAGATGTGTTTAGGGCTGGATTTGAGGGCGCGCTTTCGCTCTGGTTTCCTTCTTAGCTACGGACACCCCGGCTTCCTCTGGATGCACGAGGGCACACCCATCCGCAGGAGAGAGACGTGGAAACAAATGCACAGGGGAGGGGGCGTGTGCTCAGGAGGATTTTATAGGATGAACCAGGCTGTGCTAAAGAGAGGGTGGGTACTAGCTTTTTCTTGAAGGCCAAAGACCCAAGATCCCAAAGGGCCGGGCTCGGGGAGGAGGGAGTGGGTGGAGAGGACCCAACGTTACATGTTCCCAGCTCTGGAGGAAGGAGTCTGGGGAGAGGGGGTGGGGAGCAGGTTTGCCACAAGCCTCAAATAATTTGTTGTCTTCGTGAATGAAAAAGACAGTTTGGTTTTGACAGTGTGGGGAGAAAAATTTAGAAAGCAAACAATCAAGACCTTTTTTTTTTTTTTCCCCAAAGAGCGCCTCCTCTACCCTTAAAAAAATCTGGTTACATTATCTTAGGACCTATAGTATGGTTTCCCTCCTTCCATCATCACGGCCAGCATCTTATGTAAGAAGCCTTCTGGAAGGGACTCGAGTGGACGGGGCGGTGATGTCTCATTTTTTTCTTAGCATGATGTTGGCTCGGGGATTCGCAGTGATGGCCGGGACAGGTACCGCAGTGACTAAGGGCTTCTCCCCTGCCTTCCAGGCCACGTTTATCCTGTCACAGCTGGGTAATGGGGGAAAAGGGGGAGATCATCGTGGGCAGAGAAAAGTCCACTGGATCAGGCGACCTGGGGCAAGTGGCTTAACCTCTCAGCCTCAGTTTCTTTATGTGTCATGGGAATAAGAATCTGGCCCCACCCACCTCTTAAATTTGTTTTGAGGCTTTCGTGACTTAAGGTACCTGACAGGAATTTTGTAAAGATGTTACACAAGTGCAGGAATTGTTGACTGATTATTCCCATTTGACTTCCCAAAGTCTGTAGTAGGATGATGCACCCTACAGTGTATAAAATTAAAATGATCTCACTGTTTTTTATTATGTTAGAGAAAAAAATAAATACTTTCTATACCCGGCTGTGTGTGCATTTATGTGTAACAGTATCTTTTTTCCCTAGGTGTCTAGCAGCTTATATGTTTATTCTCATTTTTATTTATTCTCCCCCCCCCAATATATTTTTTAAAGATTTGCTATAATTTTCTGGTTTTGGTGGGTGCTAAATACAAATAGCACTTACTAAGAATATTGGTTTGTAACTGAATTTTAAGGTAACCGTTGTCAAAATGAATGTCATCCTCTGACGTATTTTGCATATTAAAACGGTGGCCTGTGGTTCAACTTGTTCCCCACCTGGGGATATAGCAGGTGCGTGTCCACTGAACACAGGACATTGATATCCCATTCCATCCACAGCATTTGGGATAGAGAGGAGTCACAGTGTACCAGTTCTCTTGCATTCCTGGCCCTCACATGCTGCTTGTCATATATAATTTTTTGCAACCCTTAAAATACAAGCGCATCAACAATGTAGATTTTGGAACTTGCCATCTCATCTTATCACAAAATTTTACATTTTTCTTAACAGCCTAGTAGTTAAAGTGGTGTATATTTGAAGTGTTCACTCCCCCTTTGTTACAATCGATGTGATTCACCCCAAAGATAAAAAGCAAATATAAAGAACGTATTGTAATGAAACTTTGCAGTGGTTGAGCGAAGTGTGTTTGTGTAGAGTATCCCATGACAACAGACTTGGTTAATTTTTCCCTACACAAACCATGCCAAGAATTGACTTCCTTACATGTGGGTGTATTTATTTTTAATGAAATTTAGCCTAAAGCCATTTAAAAAATATTGTCTTCTTTATCTGAAACGTTACACTGTTCTTTAAAGAGAGTTTGGTAGGCATTCTTTCATTTTCTCTCTATTTCAGTGGAGAGAGATAGTTTTTGTTTTGTTTTGTTTTGTCTTTAAACCTAGAATAAGCTTTGAACTTTTGCCAGTATGTTCTGACTCATCAAGTGATGAATAGGTTGTCACATCAGGTTCACCTTTGTCACTGAACCTTTTCAGAGTTGGCTCATTTTGAGCATCTCTTTTGAATGCCGAAAAATGTGTCCTTAGCTCATTGTCTTGGCACTGATGTTCCTCATAGGTCCTGCCTGACCTTATTACTTCTTCGTTTCAGAGTGATCGTCTTCTGATCAAAGGAGGTAAAATTGTTAATGATGACCAGTCGTTCTATGCAGACATATACATGGAAGATGGGTTGATCAAGTAAGTGTCACTCATTATAGAGACGAATTTGTCTACCTTCCAGTATTCCCAGACATGACCTACAGTTCACACACATGACATCAAACTTGAGTGACTTCACACACTGCCTCACTTAGGATATGTTTAAGCTTATTTTGATTGGTGGCAACTAGTGAATTTGAAAACTCAGATTTGGGGAATTCAAAGGCACAATTAAATGCACACCCATTTCCTTATGTGTTATGTAATTGACTATTTTAACTGAGGTGACACAATATCTTCTTGTTGCCAGTTTAAATTCTTGGTTTATGATCTATTGAGTATATTAAAGGTTTTCCTAGAATATAGTTGTTTGGGTAGATTGCCCAATCTAAGGCATAAACTTGGCATCCAGCCTCTTCTATCTAGATAACACATCTGCTGTCTTAATTAAGCATCCAAGTTGCTGAGGCCAAAGGACACCAAATGAATTACCAAGTAACAGACAAAGTACTGCCTCATCCCCAGGGAATTTTAGGTTTCATTCTTTAAGTGGCAACAAACGCAAATAAGAGTGCCCTTGTGTTTATTGTGTATTGTGTTACAAAAGAGAAACAACAGAGGGTTAAGTGAGCTGAGTACACACCAGTATCTTCCTGCCCTCCTGACTGGGAGCACTCACAGGGCCCTGGGAGAAATAGCACATCTGTTTAAAGACAAACACTGTAGCAAATGACATCTTTTAAATAAGCAGCATTCATCAAGGCTAGCAGCAAACCAGTCTGGAGGAGTGGAAAACTGGAGTGGATGGGTCTGTTGCCTGGAAACTCACGCCCTGATTTATGAACCTAAACTAGGTTTTAACATTTCCACATTTAATGTTTTCTCCATGTGTGTTTGTGACATTCTCTGCTCGAGGCTCTCAAATACCATGACTTTCATGTTCCGTCCCCCCCCCCCCCCATTAGAAGCCAGCCTGATACTGGCCTAGAAGTGAGCATGCCTGTATGCTATTTTTAGTCCACACTAATTTGTTTTAGAACTTTTATCAACTCCTTGATTACTTTTTCCTTCTGAAAAAAGCTGCTAGAAAGATGTAGCAAAAGTGTTTTTTGAAAATTGGAAATGGGGGCGCCTGGGTGGCGCGGTCGGTTAAGCGTCCGACTTCAGCCAGGTCACGATTTCGCGGTCCGTGAGTTCGAGCCCTGCGTCAGGCTCTGGGCTGATGGCTCAGAGCCTGGAGCCTGTTTCCGATTCTGTGTCTCCCTCTCTCTCTGCCCCTCCCCCGTTCATGCTCTGTCTCTCTCTGTCCCAAAAATAAATAAACGTTGAAAAAAAAAATTAAAAAAAAAGAAAATTGGAAATGAATCCATGACCCTCAACGGAATATTAATTTTTCCGTCCTTAGTATCTGAGTTGCTGAGCACATGCTTCCAGATTTTTAAATAGTTGTAATCATAACGTTCACTTCTCTTTTTTCTTTTTCTTTTCCTTTTTCCTTTTCTTTTTCTTTTTCCTTCTTTCTTTTTCCTTTTCCCTTTCTTTTTCTTTTTCCTTTTCCTTTTTCTTTTCCTTTTTCCTTTTCTTTCTCTCTTTTCCTTGGCTTTGTTCTACCACTGTCTTTCCACTACTGTTTTCTCAGTGTGGAAAATAAATGTAAAGTGCAACCAGGTCTGGAGAAAATTGCTATACAATTGAATTAGTTACGGAGAAAGTGTTGTGGCATTTTAGGTATATGTCTTGGGGGCCTTGTAATCATTTGATCTTAAGGGTTTTCTGGCAACTAAACCTCTTCCATCAGCATGTCCTGGTGCTTTATTTAAATTTTGTTTTGTAGTATGCTCCGTTTGCCTCTTAGTTGGGGTAGGGACTGGGGAGTGCACATATTAGGAATATTAATAATAATCCAAAAAGTCTACAGAACCTAGGGAAGGATAGTTTATGGCTTTGTGAAATGTCTGTCAGAGCCCATTTGACTCAGGAGTGGTTCATTTATAACTGTTATCACCTGTCCTGTTTACTTAGGCAAATAGGGGAAAACCTGATTGTGCCAGGAGGGGTGAAGACCATCGAAGCCCATTCTAGGATGGTGATCCCCGGAGGGATTGATGTCCATACCCGCTTCCAGATGCCTGACCAAGGAATGACCTCTGCTGATGACTTCTTTCAAGGCACCAAGGCTGCCCTGGCTGGGGGAACCACCATGATCAGTAAGATAGCTTAAAAATAATCATCTCAGAGCTTGGGAACCATTATCATTTGAAAACGCGTCTGTGTTGTTTCGATTCTTTCCTTCTAATAGTTGCTGGACCGAGCAGTGGATTGCTTTACCACATAAGGGGGAGGGGGCGGGCCAGCCATTTGTCTTGTTTCCTTGTCCTCGTTTTCCGTCCAACTCTGACGTGTCCATTTGAACTTGAGAATACGGTGCTAGAGAACTGGGGTAGGATAAAAGGAACGGCCTCTTGCTTTCTCGGCTTGAACTTTTGTCTTCCTTGCTCTGAAAATGTGATTTGATGGTGGTTTTGCTTTAAACACATTGCATTTGGGGTCATCGTCAGAGCTGTCTGTTTTGAGCCTTTGCTCATAAGTATTTGATTTTGGCTTTTAAACAGTTCCTGAGGCTGCATCTTCTTGGAGTGACGGCGGGGTGCTGCAAATGAAGTGTGGAAGCAGGAACCTGTATTCGTTCCACTGCTAAGAAAATCAAGTGGGGGGAATATTTCCTGGCCTGGGCTTGACGTAAATGGAATTGGGCAGCCCTCCTTTGAGAGCGACCCACAGATATTGTTAATTGTCATTTACGTAGGAAAATTGCTGCCACCCAACAGCAGATGTCCTTCGTGCATTGCTCCAAGGAATTTGTGCTTTTTGTTCGGCAAAATCTGAAGTATATTTCCTGGAGTCATAGCATGCGTGTTCAAAGTTAGCTTGTATAAGGTCGGCTTCCAATGTGCCTAATGATGCCCCTGTGACAGATGCTATTTTGGTTTTGAAGAGGGCGGTAAGCTCCACCATGGCCCATCAGACACATATGTAAAAAAAAAAAAACAAACCAAAAACCGTTTATCCAAGAGCGAAAGGAAATATATAATCCATCTTCAAAACTTACAGTTCAGTTCAGAAGAGGGTCAAAGTAGAAAGAACTTCACTATTTTATGCTTTAGAAAAACCTATGTTACTGCTTATTTTTCAGAATGACGGTCTTTTTTCCTTGTAACTTCACAGTCCGTCTCTCAGCTTCCTTTCTTCTGTTCTGCCACTTGGGCGAACATTGCCCTGCTGTCCCCTCCTAGTCTGAGCACCCCTACGTTTTAAATTGCACTTTCTTGGTCTTCTCTCTCGGTCCTGGTCTTCAGAGTGTCTGACGGATCAGCGACCACTGTCTTCTGGTTCAGCTTTCTAATCATAGAGCCTGCAGGTTGAAGCCTTATTACTTCGCTCTTGCTGTGCACCTCACCTTCTAACCTAGTGGGAGCCATTCTCAAGGGCGTGGAGGGTGGGGATCCTCCACCCACAGCTCAGTGCCCTGACCTACTGGAAGAGGCTGCCATTTTGTCAGTCGTGTCTGCTAGGACTCAGCTGGCACCAGTGGGCCTGGCTGCCCCTTCTCCAGGGCCAGCTGCAGAGCCACATGGGAGCTTCGAGAAGCACCGACTGCTTGGGTGACAGCCTGCAAGGCCAAGTCAAGGCTATAATCTGCCTCTGTTTGAGTTCATATGAGGTCCTTGTGGGCCCCCGCGTTGCTCACCGGGTATTAATAAGCCACAAATAATCTTTCCCGAGTGAGTGGTCAGTGCTGTCTCTCAGTGGAGGGATTGCTGGGCGGGAGCCCCCTGTGGTGAAAATGCCGCCAACCAGGAGTCTGCCGTTGTGGTCTCCCTCCGGCACTGACTCGCTGTGCGACTGTGGGCAGGTCCCCTCACTTCGCGGGCCTGCTCATCTGCACGATGAGGGATCTGCACGAGCTGACCCTGCATGTCCCTTTCAGCCCCCACATTTGGTGACTCACCGAGCTCAGAGACCGTTTGCCTGTGATCAGGTGTACTTCGCTCAGCAGATGCATAAAGCCCTGTCTTCTCTCAGACTTACTTGAAAGACCCCACCATTCTGTTTTCTCGTCTCCTACCTCCCTGAATGTGGCTTTCACTCCTTGCACTTGACCCATTCTTTGGCCCCCCCATTCTGTGTCTTGTCCCTTCTCTGCTTTCACGCTGAACCCCCCCCCCCAACTGCCTTCACCACGAGGGCATATGCCTTCCTGCCGATGCCCTGACTTTCTCTTTGACCTTCTTCCTCAGCAGCAGTGGGCTTCCTTCCCTTCCTTCCAAGTGGGCTCCTGAGCAGGGACAAGGGACAGATCCACAAGGCCTGCACCTGGTCCGGGAGCCGGGAACAGTCAGCAGATGGCCTTATGGCAGATAAGGGTGAAGGAGAAGTCAGACTGCCTGCCCTACACATCCGGGCAGAATGTGATCGTATTTCAGTGTAGGGTTTGTGATGCAGTAGTAAGGCTAAGAGGCTAAAAAGCAGAGGGATTTAATGAGCAAACCCTAAGGAAGAAAAGTAATCAGAGGTGGCAGGGATGTGGTCAGAATTGTCACACCCCAAACTCCACTGCTTTTAAAGCCCTGAGAAGAATATTACCTGCCCTTGCAAATAACCACCCGTGGTTACTGACCTCTATAGAATTCCCACTGGCCTGCCCTTCCCTCGGGAAGCAAGTGGGAATGATACAGATGAGGAAATCGGGATTTCTTCTGCTTGCTGGTCAACACATTTCGGCATTGCTTCAGAAAAGCACGCTTTGCAGACACAGAGTTTTGCAAAGAGGGAGAGCTAGCTTAATGTGACTTCGTTGGTACCTACGGCCTGCTCCTTCAAGGAAATTGTAGCTTCCTCAAGGAGTTTCAAGGCCAAAAAAAAAAAAAAAAAAAAAAAAAAAAAAAAAAAAAATGCTTAGGGCCCTGGAGGAGATTCAAGTGAAACTTGCAGAAGCAAGCCCTTGAAGTAACCGGTGCACCACTGCCCACACCCCTTCCTGCCATCTCTCTGAGTTCCTACAAGCCTGTCACCTGCACGTGCCCTTTGCAGTGCCCTTCCCAGGTCTGTCTGAAATGGCACGGCCCAAGGTGGAAAATGTAGCCGAGTAGTCCAAGTTTAAAAAGGGAGGTGACACGTCAGCAGCAGAAAATAATATTATTGCCATCCAACAGAGCCTCCCATTGAGAATGGCACAACGGGAGCTTTGTAAGGGGCCCCCAGTGCAGGGCAGACAGAACGCCCTTTGCCCTTTCCATCCAGTGGTGGGTGGGCGGAGCCTCCAGACAGGCCCTGCACGCGGCATCGAGACCAGCCGAGGGGTCACGGAGGTGGCAGAGTTGCTTCCTGGGGAAAATGCTACTGGTTTCCCGAGAGGGTTACGATCATCAGAGTTAAGACTCCAGCATCTTAACCAGAGAGAAGAAGATGGGAATGGTTACCTCCGTTTTATAGAGGGAAATTCCGGGGCCAGAGAGAAGGGCATTACTTGCTGATGCTTATCCTGTGTGTTGGTGTTCGTGGCCGGTGTGGAAAACACATCTGCGGGGCTGGCTTCTCCACCTGCCAGGTGTGTGACTTAAGGCCTCAGTGGCCTCATCTGCAAAATGGGGAAAGTTGTTACACAGATTGACTTGGAGACATGAGAACAGTGCCTGGCCCATAGTAAACACTCAGATGGGGTTAAGTTACTTTTTTTCCATCTGTATTAGGTGCCAGCAGCCTCTCATCTCTGTAGAGACCCCTTCCCAATCGCTACTTTTGTAAGAGAGCCAGAGAGAAGAGACTGCAGCTGCAGGAGGCCACAGGGGTTCCCCAAGCACGGCCGACAGGTTGTGGACCCTGGTGTCACCTGCATGCATTTCAGACATTCAGCTTCCTGGTCCCCACCCAACATATCTAAGCAGAGAGCGTGCTGGTGGGACCTGTGAACCTGTATTTGAATCCGGATTGTCACATGCACTTGAGCTGTTCGAAAGCATGGATCTCAGGGGTCCAGGCCAGATCTCTGGACTCCAGATGTCTAAGGACCAGAACCCACAGTGCAGGGAAAAGAGCCTGACTGTCATTTCTGCTAACCTGAACTTCAGGCTTTCCCTGGAGGGGTGGAGCCCCAGTGCAACACCCTGCACCGCAGAGATCAGGATGGGACTTGAGCACAGAGAAGGTGCAGGCCTGGAAGAGGCCTCTCTCTGAGCTCTGCACTTGTCACCTTCTAGATGGGGCTCCTTGGATGTGCCTCAGGCACCTCCATCCAGCTGTCTCCAGGCATCCTTACCCTCGCCTCTCATTGTCCTGCCTCTCTTCTGGCGCCCAACCCCAGCGAGGGCTGCAGTCACAGTTATTCTGGCCTGAACTCACAAAGTCACCCTGTGCTGCGTTGAGTGAATTTTGTCTGTCCCTTATCTCTTGCATCCATTCCATTACTGCCACTAAGTCATACCTTTGTTGTCTGTACTGGATTTGTGCCCCCGCCTTCGGAGGAGTCTCACTGCCTCCGGGATCCTGTCTCTGCAGGGATCCTGTCTCTGCAGCGTGCACATCTCCTTGCACCACGGGCACTTTCTCTGACATGGCGATGATCATGCCCTCTCCCTCCCTTGCAGCCCTCAGGGGCTCCCTTTTGCCCAGAGGATGCAGCTCAAGCAGCAGAACGCTCGATGCCGTGACTCAGTCCTGCTGCCCCAGTCTGGACCCAGATGTTGTCACCTTAGCCAGGGGATGCCCTTACCTTCTTCTCTTTGCCTTCGGGAATCTTTATTACTCTTCGAGGCCCAGCTAGGTGTCACCTCTGTCCCGGAGCCCCTGCTCAGCCCCCTTCCCTGTAATCTGTTGCTGCTTCTTTATGCCTTAGCAAACATGGGGTTTTTATCCCAGGGCCCTTATGACATCCATCATGTGTTATAATGTGATCAAGGCTCCTGCCTCTTTCATTTTGGTATTCCCCACCCACCCAGCAGAAGCACCTGAGGGGTGCTTCATTAATGCTTCCAGTTGAATGAATGGGTGAATGATTGAATGAATGGGGATGCTAACAGCACTTGGTTTCCTGCTTCATCTGAGCCTGGTGCCAGAGGACTGAGAATCCTGGGGCCGGGTTAACATGTCTGATGTCCACTGTGGTCGTTTTGACCGAAGCAGCCGTCTCTTCAGCGGCGCCCCTGTGCCT